ACCGATTTACAAATGCCGACTACAATCTCTTGAAATATCGAAGAAGGAAACATCATTTTTATCCCATTTGCAGATGTAACACGAAAGAGGTTTGACATGAAAAAATTTTAGCCACTTACCGAATCAAAAAAACTTGTAAATGCGGGCAGAACTAATAATAATAATTCCAAAAAAAAAAATAAAAACCTTTTAGAAAATTTGTGAGAGGCGTGCTTTTGTATTGAGCGAAGAGGTGAAACCTTACGCCAATTTGGCGTTATGTTCCTGTTAAGCAAATAAAAGATCCCTTCAAGCTTCGATGAGAGAAAACATATGATGACCTCCATACAGGCGTGAAAATTGGGGGCAGGAGACCACCCCCTGCTTTCCCTTTCAATTTAGACCCCCCAGTTGTCACCCCCTGGACACGTCAAGGAAAACAGAAAAGGAAACACGCATTTTTGAATGTGCCGCCTTGTTTGCTCAGTCTTTTGTAGTGAATAACACTGATGATGTCCATGTGGCTGGCATTCCTGCAAAAAGAACTTTTTTATTACTGTAGTCTCTTTTTAATTCGAACTGAAGAGGGAAGGGGAAAACGATCGAATAAACCAAAATTTGAATTATATTAAAAAATAAGCTATGAAATATATGTATTAATAGATAATATTACATAGAATCAAATTCAATACAATATTTAAGAAAAAATAAACTTACTGTAAAATCTTATTAAATTTTAATATAACCATGACCTACTATTTCGTAAGTTTATAATAAATTTAATTAACCAAAATTTGAATTATATAAAAAAAAATTTAAAATAAGCTATAGAATATATGTATGAATAAATAGTGTTACATAGAATCAAATTCAATGCAATATTTAAGAAAAAATAAGTAAACTTACTGCAAAATCTTATTAAATTTTAATCACGACCTACTATTTCGTAAGTTTATAATAAATTTAATTAACCAAAATTTGAATTACATAAAAAAATATATAAAATAAGCTATAAAATATATGTATGAATAAATAGTGTTATATAGAATCAAATTCAATACAATATTTAAGAAAAAATAAATAAACTTACTGTAAACTCTTATTAAATTTTAATCACGACCTACTATTTCGTAAGTTTATAATAAATTTAATTAACCAAAATTTGAATTACATAAAAAAATATATAAAATAAGCTATAAAATATATGTATGAATAAATAGTGTTATATAGAATCAAATTCAATACAATATTTAAGAAAAAATAAATAAACTTACTGTAAACTCTTATTACATTTTAATCACGACCTACTATTTCGTAAGTTTATAATAAATTTAATTAACCAAAATTTGAATTACATAAAAAAATATATAAAATAAGCTATAAAATATATGTATGAATAAATAGTGTTATATAGAATCAAATTCAATACAATATTTAAGAAAAAATAAATAAACTTACTGTAAACTCTTATTACATTTTAATCACGACCTACTATTTCGTAAGTTTATAATAAATTTACTTAGCCAAAATTTGAATTATGTAAAGAAAAAAAAATTAAAATAAGCTATAAAATATATGTATGAATAAATAGTGTTATATAGAATCAAATTCAATACAATATTTAAGAAAAAATAAATAAACTTACTGTAAAATCTTATTACATTTTAATCACGACCTACTATTTCGTAAGTTTATAATAAATTTACTTAGCCAAAATTTGAATTATGTAAAGAAAAAAAAATTTAAATAAGCTATAAAATATATGTATGAATAAATAGTGTTATATAGAATCAAATTCAATACAATATTTAAGAAAAAATAAATAAACTTACTGTAAACTCTTATTAAATTTTAATGACGACCTACTATTCCGCAAGTTTATAATAAATTTAATTGCAAATTGAACGTTCACAAATGCCCACACGCATATTCATGTGAATAATCCTTATATGAATTCACTTAAATTATTTTGCGATTTTAGAGGTTCTCAATTTTACAATATTACACTCAAAATCTTCATGAATAGCATGAAATGAGTTATTTTTAAGATTAATTAAAGATTTCACAAATTATGGATCACTTTTTAGCTTTCAAGAAGGTGCACACATACTATTTTCATCGAATCTTGCATGACCTAAAGGAATGGGCAATTACCATTCCAAGTTCAAAGTTTGTTGACTCTCGTGTTGCTGTCATATTGACAACATTCTCAAATGAATAACTCAAATAAAAGCCCTGTCTGCGCACTACTCATTTTACACACATTTGCAATCCCAAAATTTTGATCATCTCAGTGTAGTTTAAGTGCTGAAGTGAAGCTGACATCGAAGAAATAGCACCGTCAGTGGCTTTGTTAATCATAAATATGGTGCTTAATCGTATAAACGGCATTTCAATTTCAACTTTATTAAATTCTAACACTAAATTCAATGAAAACTCTTTCATTTATATAACCAACTATTAATAATGATAATAAATTATTTAGATCTTTTCAGTCGCCAATTTTAAATTTTCAAACTTTATATTATTATCAATAAAATAAAAATATCGCAAACCTTAAAAAAAAAAAATCAGTACTTATTAATCATTGTTATTATTAAAGCTAACAAGAAGAAAAACGCCATGTTTTGACCTTCACGCAGGTCACCGCGGCTATCGATAATACCCAAAAAATGCATCAAATATCGGGAATAAGCGATAATTATTGAATACGATATTTTGAATATTGCTACATTTTATTTTGGTAGTAAAATTATTTATAATAATATAAATTTGAGATTGTTGACTATTTCATTTACTTGGGCTCTGTAATCAACAACAGCAACACTATTACAATAGAAATATAGGGGAATTACTAGAGCCAATAGATGTTTTAATGGAATTCGAAAATACATAAAATCTAATGTAATTCATAGAAAAGCAAGGGAAGAAAGCTTTTTAGCATGTGCTTGTGAAACCTGGACCCTATCTTGTACAGATGAGGTTATGTTGAGTACCTTTGAGAGAAAGATCTTGAGAAGTATTTTTGAAGGAAATGTATTTTGGCTTAGAAGAACAAATTTAGAGCTTTATCACTCATATAATGAATCTGTCGTTATTAACTTCATTAAACAACAAAGAATAAAATGGGCAGGCCACATTATCAGAAAAAGAGTTTTCAATGCCAGACCAATTGGCACACGAAAAAGAGGCAGGCCGAATTTGAGATGGATAAATGGCCTAGAAAAAGACCTTATGGTCTTAAGAGAACTAAAACCTGGAAAGCGCGAGCAGGAAAGGTTAGCCCAGTTGTTGTTGTTGTAGTTCATTTACGTCGCACTAGAGCTGCACAATGGACTATTGGTGACGGTCTGGGATGCATCCCTGGGGATGATCCAAAGACGTGCCATCACAGAGGTGATGGCAACCCCGCTTCGGTAGCCCGACGACCTGCACGCGAAGTCGAGCACTTTACGGTAAAACAGTTTAACGAGGACCAATACCGCACACCCTCGGTCCCTACGCAGACTGATCCAAGTGGTCACCCACCCGCACACTGACCGCAGCCAGTGATGCTTGACTTCGGTGATCTGCTGGGAACCGTGTCTTAACGATCAATCCACTGCGGGACAAGGTTAGCCTGGAAAAAAACTTCTTGAGAAGGCCAATGCCCACACTAGGCTGTCGAGCCATTGATGATGATGATGAATAAAATTATTGACACTAATGTAGAAATTACATTAATAGGAGAGCGATTTATTTTTAAAACTTCATTAAAATTTGTACTCAAGGGTGTTTTGTTGGAAAAACAACACACGGCTCTTATAACCGAAGATGAGACCAACAGCTAATCGATGCCGTATATAAATTATGTTGTTAAGTACACTCATTTAAAATTCAGTTCAGTCTTGCTTCTGTTTCCAATACTAAGAAAAGTTTTTACTGGCAAAAACCTTGGCTCAGAAAAGTTAAATAAAACCGGTGGACAAAGTCCATTTTAATGGTCCATTAAACGTGTCAAATAATTGTAAAAACTGATTTTAACCTTTTAACTATCAATATATATTTCCTTGGTTATGGTTAGTTTCCTTGGCTATAATTAGTTTTCTTGGTTAGTTTTTAAACAACGTCATAAAGCTAAATTATTATTATTATTACTATTTATTATTATTTTTTTTTTTTTTGCTTAAAAATGTACTGACCTGCGTATTCTTTTAACTTATAAAGTTTATATCAGTTAAAGTTTGAAACAAAAGCTCCGTAATAATGAAATTCAATAGCTCGCATAATTAATATGAACAAGTAAGTGCACAGAATGTAGGTAGTTGCTAATNTTTTTTTTTTTTTTTTTTTTTTTTTTTTTTTTTTTTTTTTTTTTTTTTTTTTTTTTTTTTGCTTAAAAATGTACTGACCTGCGTATTTTTTTAACTTATAAAGTTTATATCAGTTAAAGTTTGAAACAAAAACCCCTTACTAATGAAATTCAATTGCTCGTTTAATTAATATGAACAAGTAAGTGCACAGAATCTAGGTAGTTGCTAATTTGAATGAAAAATAATAATAGAATTTAAGATAATAGAATTAATAAGAATAATAGAATTTGAAAGGAATGAAAAATTTAGAGTTCTGCTATTTTTGTGAGGAGCAAAATTAAGATGCTCAGTTTAATTTTTTTTTTTAGTCATTTGGCAGTTTTAATGAGAAAAAGACTCATTACATAACAAATACAAGAAGAGCTATTGGGATTCATCTATGTAAAATAAACAAAGTGCTATAGCGCCACTTGGTATTTCTCGACATTAAATAAAACAGGCGCTATAGCGCTGCTTGGGTCTTTTCGTACTCATATAAAGAAAGCGCTGATGCGTTGTTTGGGATTCTGGGACTCAAACGGTTAATTGAGTGAAACATAATCAGAATGTGTAAACAAAATGAAGATATCTTCATGTTGTAACATGTAGTATTGTTATTAGATCCATTATATAGATTTGTACATTATTAAAAACAGGAATTTTGCCTGAAAATAATCTTTTTCTTTTCAGGTACAATGGTATTAACATCTAGTTGTTGCACACTAGCGACAGGATCGTGCAGAGCGACATGTGAGGAGGCAAGTCAAATTTTAACTAGCTAATTAATTAACTTTAATGAGCAAGTCTATTCACTAGAATCTTGTCCCAGATATTTTTTATTATTATTTTTAAATGTGTGTCAAAACTGAAAAGGTAAAAATTTCCTGATATCAAAGTAAAGTGGAATATTCTAAAACTTCGAAATTCTTGAAGATATAATCCCAATCCTAAGCACTTCAAGGCTGCAGTGGACACCCAAAATCGTAAAAATCACTCGAAAAATCGATTTTGAAATGTTGACTATTTTATATTAATTAAATGATGCTTTATCACATGCCAAAAGAATTTTTCGTAATTGAGCAATTACGAGCGAACTATAAGATATAGTTTGTCTAAAACAAGAACTCCTCCAGACATCCGTCTGGGCCTGTGGCGGTGACTATGGTAACGAGGTATGACCATTTCAAGTAGGGGTGCGGGGTCACTGTTTTGGAGTGGTTTCGACTCGGGTCGGCGGAAGAAAGGGAATCTTTTTCTTCCGTTTATTTTGTTGTCCTAGAGTGAAGCTACCCTCCCTAAAATGCGCCATTCTTGTTTCCATAGCACCAGACGGCCTCAGACTTTAGTTTGTTTTTTCACCTTCTTGCCACGCCCCTTTATTTACAATTCTACTGTCACTTGAAGCCTCAGAATGTTAAGTATTTGTACTCATTATTACTTATAATTTAGTATTTGTACTGATTATTACTCATAATTTAGTGATTATTACTCTTATTTTTTTAATTCCTTTTGATTAGTTATATAAGTTCTGTTTATATGTTATCAAAGTTCATCATTTTAATGAGCAAATTTAAGAAAAATGAAACAATTGCGAATTTTATGGTAGTTTTTCTGATTCTTTTTATTGTAATACCGTATTCTCTTCCACTTCTGATATCTGCAACCATAGTTGGGTCAATTTATATATAATGAGTTGGTTCTGATTTTAAAAAAAAGCATATTAATTATAAAAACCATAAGAATTTGTAAAACATTTGAAAATATTAGCGTTGTTTTGCTTTTTTATTACAAAAACTAGTTTCCTCGAAGCAAAAAATTTTGCATCGAACTGGAAATTTAAATAGTTCCATGCGTTGTAATTTTGATGACTATCTCATGAAACTTTTTTGACACTCTCTGGATCAATAAAAAAAAAAAAAACTTGTAGGGAGAAAATTTCAAAATAATATGTCACAACACATTCATTTCAATGTTTCAAAATGTTCATTGAGGAACGATTTTTCATGTTTACTTCTGTCGAAACTTACTTTTTCTATTCTGTATTGAAATTAGTTGTAAAATGTGTACATTTTTCTCCTACAATTTGAAGAGAAATGTAAATAGAGTTGAAATTAACAAATAATCTTTGAATTCAAGGAAAAATGTAGCGCAAGGAGCTTCTTTAAACTTCAAAGTAAATTGACAATTTTCTTTTTAAATTCAATTTTTCAAGTTATACCTTGAATTATGCATAAAATTATTTTTTTTTAATGTTCTCTATTTAAATATGAACAAGTTACAGCAATGTGACATTAATTTTTAAGAAAAACCTGTTAAGAGTCTACTGCAGGGTGCGTAGAGTTTTTAAAAAGTGCTTAAAGGTGCTTATTTTTGATTTACGTTTTTTAAAAGCCCTTAAAGGTGCTTTTTTTTATTCCAGGTTTGTAAACGTGCTTGATTTTATATCTTTAAAAAAAAATTTTTTTTTCTTTGACGTGTCGATTGTCGTTCTAAATTACAAAAAAAAAAAAAAAAAAAAAAAAAAAAAAAAAATTTTNATGCTTGATTTTCACAATTTTTTCTGCAATATTTATCAGAAACTAGTTATTTTATCATGATTATGTAAAGTTTTTGAAAATATTTTGGAACTTTATTTATTTCGTGTTTATAAATTAAGAATTTTAAACGATAGAAAAAAATTATTTTTATTACTGCACAGATCCTAATAATGAATTTTTTCGGAAAGTGATTAAAAAAATTTTTCGAGTGCTTAAAAAGTACTTAAAATGTGTTTATTTTTTGTTGAAAAATCTGGCTACGCACTCTGCTACTGTAGCCTATCCACTGTGCTTGCGCTGGGGAAAAGAAAAACTCAACTTTACTAAATAGCATTTATTTGTTGCTTTCTTAAACTATGTTTAATTTTGCTGGCGTATGCACGGTACAATAATGCTTTGAAATCACACTTCATTTATTTACTTCCTGCAAGTATTTTGTGTGAGTTCTGTCATCTTTCAAATTTTTTCGTCGATTTCAACAATGTATAATTTTGAATCACGTTCATTCATCGCGAGTCCGGTTCTTGGCGTTGCGTGTCTTAATTTTTGATACACATCACGTGTTTTATACTCTCTCATGCACATAACAATTTGTTTCTCTGTTCAATTTGTGTACCAAGTGAACGAGAGAGAAAGAACATTTTAAAAATGAACTGAAGGTTACAAGAGACGTTGAAACATCTCAGTTTACTAAACAAAAAAAGAATCATTTATAGTATTTTAACCGCTTCCCTGCTCATCCCGAATTAACTCGGGTATGTATATATTGCAAATATTTACTATCCCGAGTAAACTCGGGCATAGCAGAATTCGTTTTGTGTTATCACGTTTTTTTTCGACTTGAAGCAAAACAAAAAATAATTATAATAATCTGCTGAGATTTAAAGTTTTGTCAATTTTCGTTTGGGACACGTGTTTTGTACAATCGTATATACGGTGGTTGATGTATTTGCGTAGAAAAAAAAAGAGCAAAAAAATGGTGCTCGAGAGCGAAAGCGAAAGTAATACAGATGATTTTTCAGATTATGAAGATGTGAGCATATACATATTTAACTTTTTTAATTTCCCCCGAGATAATTTCGGATAATAAACTGATACTAAATTAAATACTTTTTTCCTCATTAAAAAATTTAAATTTCAACTTAGAACTTATTATGTTTAGTTTTAGTTCCTTGTATTTATTAACGAAATAAAAAAATAAGTTGATATTTTTGCTTTTTTTTTTTCCTTCAAAAAAATGGGTAAGGCAAACGGTTAAGACACCCCACACTTGGCTTGAAGTTACACTTTTTCTTTTTTCTGCAATGACATTTGATATTTTTCGAACACAGGCAATCTTATATTCTGATTTCTTTAATTAGTGGTAGGAAATTAAATTTAAAGCTAGTTTTTATCATCATTTTGTTTTTTTGTTTTTTGTTTTTTTAACTGTCGTTGAACAAGTAGACTCAATTTTTGGGTCTCCTTTTGGGTTAAACTCCGTAACCTTGTAATTTAAAACCCAATCCAGAAAACAAGGAAACTCCCGGATCAATCAAGTATTGTTAGAAGTTTGCCGTCGAGGAGGACTTTTTAATGGAACTGACCCGCATTTGCGTTACATGGAGAGGAAAACCACGAGAGTCTCCCATGTTTAGCTTGACGCCATAGGGTCACCCATACCCCGTCTATGACTAAGGATATTTCACGTTAGACCTGTGATTGGGGCAACCGGATGCGGAATTCATATCGACCAGTCATCGCTGGGATTCGAACCCGGGTCACCTCATTGGAAAGCGAACGTTCTATTCCCTGAGCCATCGCTGCTTTTATCAAATTGTTGAATACGAAAAAAATAGGTAAAGTTGGAAATTTTTTTGAAAGCCGTGGTTAAGACCCAATAATAGATATTTGAAGTTTGTTAGCCGCCATCTTGAATTTACGGAGGTGGGGGGTGTGTGCAGGAGAAAAAATTTAAGCAGAGAAGTGAAGTAATACTTTTTTTCATAGATGAAATGAATAAGTACGAAGCTAAACTGATAGGACAAATATTTTAGAAGTAACCAATGTTTGAGACATTCAAGTATTTAATTTCCATTTATACAAACGGACCTCTATTTAACGAAGTCATTAAATCCCGACAAAAAGCTCTCTATATTGAAAATTCGTTAAATACAAAATCACCATTTGAAGTACTTAAGCAACACAAAACAGGTTTTAAATTCTTAAACACTGGACGTAATTAAAATAACCATCTTCATAATTTCCGCCTTCATCTTCTACGTCTCTTCCTCACAATTTATTGTTGTATTGTTTTTTTTTTTTTTTTCACACTTTCCAAATTATCCAATTCAGTTAATGTTTCTGTGAATCAATAAAGAAGAAAATCAGAATCAATAAAAAAAAATCATTAATCGAGTACATCATCATTAATTTCGTGGTTCTCTCTTGGCTGTACCCATATTTAAGTTCTTCTAAAGAAATTTCATCTTTGTCCTCCTCACTTTCCAAATTCTCCGAGCTGACTAAGAATCCAGCTTCAGCATAACTGTTACGAATAGTACGATCTGTAACATCATAGTTCCATGCTTTTGAAATTTCTGTTACGCTTTCTCGTAAATTGATTTTTGGAAATGGATTCCTGTTATGAAATGCAAACAAAAAGGGATTTTACCGCTTTCTCTAAAAGTTAAGTGGACAGCGAAAATCAATTCAAGGTCATTCCCCCCCCCCCCATCAAATACATTAACAAGTTTGAAATGTAACGAAATATTTTAGGAAACACGGAAAGTGGATTTCAAAGAAAATTTCGTTAAATAGAAAATCCACTTCGCTGTTTGGAAGTTATTTTAGGAAGAAATTTCTTAAGTGAGCTCGGTTTCCCCAAACGAAATCGCAAAATAGAGAAATTCACAAAATAGAAGTTCGTTAAGTAGAAGTCCGACTGATTAACCAGTTTTAATCATAATAATCATTAAAATAAGCCGCAAAACACAGCACTTCGTAAAAACATTTAATGCCTTATACATTTGTCTAGAGAGCATTAGCATTTTCATATTTTCATAAAAGTTGTAACTACAGAGTATCTGCGCACCTGGAAATTCATGAATTTCAGGAAATTCACGAGTCATTAATGTCATCGCTTTAACTATATATATATTTTTTTTAAATCATGGAAAGTCATGGATTTAGGTCGCCGAAAAATCTAATTTTTAAAATGGAATTTACTCCTCCCCCCCCCA